ACGCTCCGACCGAAATGCTCCCTCGGAAACTCTACAACGAATGTGCTCCCACCAGAATGAGGAAGCTAACTTCTGAGTGCCCCAAGTCCCCAGAATTCCCATCACAGATTCAAAAAGGGGACAAATCCAAGTGCACGCTGTTTTATATTCGACCTGCCCTGGTAGAAGAACATCAAGGCCACGCAGACACTTTTCATTATATTTGCCCGTCACCAAGCAACAAGGTATTCTAAAGTATAACAGGTAAAAAAAATATCAAACATGTATCTTCTACAAACCACTCAACCGTAGTGTTTCAACAATATTTATCCTTCTCCCCCGGGTTACCAACGCCATCGGAGTGTCGTTGAACGACGTCGCTAGTCGATGCGGATATTGCCGTCAAAACCGACTCCGTCGCCAGCTACAGTGGCAGCGATGACAGACCCACAGATATGGGGTTTTATCAAAAGGGGCATGTGTTTTACCCAACCCCTTCGATGATATAATCCCCGGAGGTTCGGGCATTCGGGGGGCGGCATGCGCTAGCGGGGCCACCTCGACTGTTCCGCCCAAGGGGTCCCAGTCCCAAACACGAGGACCTGGGCCTTGGGACTGCCGGGCAAATGCGCAGGACCTGAGAGAGTTGGGAGCTATATTCCCCTTTCTGCCCAAATGATTCAGACCTTGCTCAATTTGGGGCTGCACTGCTCCCAAACGTTATGCGTGTGCGTAAACGGAAGACATCGTTCTGCTAAGGCCGCGTTCTGGAAGCTTGGCCGATGACGAAGCTTAGCCATGCGACTTGCCACTTCGAAATTGCACATTTCAATGTTTAGTTGTGCGGCTCAAACTTTAGCCAAAAAAACCTTACCGGTCAGATTTCATGCGATAGGGGTTCACGACTAGCTGCGACCAAGGATGAAACGTGGTTTCTGCAGACTTGGTCGGCTAGGCTAAGGAAATGTGACGTCAACTAAGCCAAGAAAGCACCACAATCCTGCTCGACGCACGAACAACCGTCAAACTGCGAATGCTCCATTTTTCTTCACCAAAGCCTTCATCAACACTCTGACCAGAAGGATGCCAATTCCATAGTACAAAACCCCTTCATAGCCCACAGAGCCTTCATCGACACCCACTGCTGTGGATATGCTGTTAAAACTCGCGTGCCAAATGTTACGATAAGGAAATTGTTACATTCCTGAAAGTGACTCTCAAGTCGTAACCCTTGTCGAGTCCAAGCCTATGTCGCGAGGTACAAAGTGCAACGGTCGTTGACTGTTCACCGACAGCCGAACTGACAGAAGCTCATGGGTCCATCATGACAGCAAGGACACATAACTAACCGTGTAATGTAGCGCAGGAAGTTACCCGAGTCGGATCTGGAACCTCAAAGGGAATGTGCCCCTGTTAAGTACAATTAGTTAGACCCTTCGCGTTCTCGTGTATCACTACATGAACCATGTATTCTCTTGCTATAAACAATACGGTTGTGTTACATTCACTCTGACAGGGTTCACGAAACCAATCAACCGCTTCCGCAAAGCGCACTACTGAAGTTCAATCCAGAACATCCTACAATATTTTCCATATTGGATCGTTTCATGTGTAAACTGAACTGATCAGGATTCTACGCACGACATTCTCAATCAGTTTCAAATTCAAATATCGTGGTGCCAGTAACTCGCTCCCACCACAGAATGACCACAGGCTCGGGATCACGAGGGAAGGAAGCCCTCCTCTCGAAGCACCTACAAGCACTTCTAATCCGACAGCAACCACTTCCGTCCCCACTGGGCTCCTCGAAAATTGCTCAAACGAATATCAACTCTTGAAGAAGGACTTCATTCTCTCAAGATCGACGGCTTGAGCACCGCTTGCCAAACCACTGAAACACAGCCAACCTCTGCAGACAAGGACTCCACTCCTGACTTCTTCAACTTCGACGCCTTCAACACGCAACCATCTGTAAACATACGATTAAGCAACGAAGCCCTGCAGACAGCACAATTGAAGTTCTTTGCTGTTTCTAAGATCATAACAAGCTCTAACTTCAACGGTCGCGGTTTCTACACGTGGAGTCTCGAGTTCGAGCTACTATTGTAGAGCGCTAAAATATTTTGCTATTTTGACGGATCTTACCCCGGATCAACAATCGACGCCGAAAACGCGAAACAACGATATGACAATGAATCGCGCATGGCGTACATCGTACTTCTGCGAAACATATCCGCTTCTGAGCAGCTCGGAATTCGATCGTTTATAACTCGCGCCACTCCGGCATGAGACTCCTGACTACACCTGACGAACCTCTATCAGCCGAAGGACTCTGTGTCGTCGAGTCGACTGCTCGGCCAGATACTAGAAGTGAAGATGGCCTCAGGGGAAAAGGCCAACACTTACATTAATCGTTGCCGACCTAATCGTCAAGCTTGGGAACACTATCACTGAAGATATGTTCGCGTGGATCGTGCTCGCTGGACTTACCCCCGAATGGCGATCGTGCAAGGCACTACTCCACCAGCAGGGCGAAATATCCAAAGCGACCCTTAGCGCAACACTGCTGGCTGAGCAACAAGATATGGACCTCTACAAGGAGAGAGCTCCGCGCAAAGAGAGGCTTGCCTTCTACTCGGGCCAGAAGGAGCCACGTCGCGACAAGCGCAGTCGCCGCTACTTTTGCAAGAACTGCAAAATCTTCGAACACTCTACTAAGCGCTGCCAAAATCGAACAGGTAGCAGTGCAAGACCATCGTACACGCCTAACCCAAGCGGAAGTCAATGTGCTCACGCACAACAGAGGAGACACATCGACCTTTCCCCCCCGGACCCGCGCCAGACTATTTGCCCCGTCCCACATGGACCAGCGACCAGTCCAGCGCCCTCCTGCATCCTCGGACCTTCGTCTGACTCTGCAGCCCCGCTCACTCTTGCCTACTGTCTCCCACTCTTCCTCGTCCCACCCTGTGTAGATGCCCCCCTGCGTGGTATCCTACTCCCATCCAGCCTACATGTTCCCATCGGGGCCAACCCACCTGTCTACAAGAGTGGTTGGATATCTTTATGGGGGAGAGCCATCTGTATTATGAGCTGGTGAGTCTCATGCTTTCACCTCATCTTCTGCAGCTTGGCACGAGCTGCCTGTCGTGGCACTGGGGTAGCCCTGTCGAACCTCTTCTCTCTCTAGGGAGGGTATTTGGGAGGCTTTCCCTAGGAAACGTGGATATATGTAGCCTAACTCTCTTGAGGACATCCCTTATTGTCCCAATGGTTAGGATTGGTGACTTTATGACATGTTATCAGAGTGATCAAAGGTTCAATTTCTTAGTGTACACGCTATCCCAGCGGGGAGTGTGCCGTGGCATTGGGATAGCCCTGTCGAACTTCTCTCTCTAGGGAGGGTAATAGGGAGAGCTTTCCTTGGGGAAGGTGGATATATGGAGCCTAAATCTCTTGATGACAACCCTTCTTGTCCCAATGGTTAGGACTGGTGACTTTATGACACTGCCCACCCTTCTCTGCTCGTTGCTTTTTGCTGGTTAGTCTCAGCTTGTTTCCCATCATTCTCAGCTTGCTTCTCTTCACTTGTTATTAACCGCTTGTTGCACCCTGTCGTAACACTGGGATAGCCCTTTCGAACCTCTCTCTTTTGGGAGGGTACGAGGGAGGCTTTCCCTGGGGAAGGTGGATATATGGAGCCTATCTTTCTTAAGGACATTCTTTCTTATCCCAGTGGTTAAGACTGATGGCTTAATGACACACGTGGCACCCACGCCCCCTTTCCCTCTCTTCTCCACCCCCGTCGTTGTTTCCAGGACAACATAGGAAACAAGGAAGAGCAAGTTGCAGCACGTCACAAGACCGGATGACTGAAGATGTGCCGACTGTAGCTGGGGTTTTAGCTCAATGGGTTGGGGTATAAGGGGGCGTAAAGTATGCAGTAGGGTTTTGCATAGTGCATTGCTTGCATGCCTTCCCATCATCGTTGTGTGTCCAAAGCTAGGGTCTGCAGCTGCTCGTGTCCAGAGTGTCAACTTATACATATATTTGCATGTAAAAGTTATAGGCTGGAATATGTGTGTGCTCTTAGTGAGTACAACCCAACCCCTATATCTCCCCTGTTCACTCTCTCTTTGTTTATTCATTCTAGTATCTTAACATGGTATCATGCGTTGGTAGGTCCGCCCACCCGCTTCCGCCCCTCGCCCTAGCCTACCCCGCCTCGTTGGCCCGTAGCGCGCCTCGCCGGCCCCTCGCGCCCCGTCGGCTCTTCGCGCCTAGCCGCCCCCTCCCTTCGCGCCTAGCCGACCCCTCCTTTCGCGCCTCAGCGGCCCCTTCGCGCCCAGGTGGCCCCGCGTGCCCAGTCGGCCCCTTCCGCCCCGTCGGCCCCTCTCACCTAGTCGGCCCCTCCCTTCGCGTCTAGCCGGCCCCTTTGCGCCCAGGTGGTCCCCCGTGCCTAGTCGGCCTCTTGCTGCCCTTCGGTCCCTCGCACCTAGTGGGCCCCGCCTCTCTTGCCTAGCCGGCCCCTCACGCCCAGGTCGCCCTTCACGCCTAGTCGGCCCCCCGCCGCCAGTGGGCCCCCCGCGCATAGTCGGCCCCTCCTCTTGCACCTAGCCGGCCCCTCGCGCCCAGGTGGCCCCTCGCGCCTAGTCGGCCCCTTGCCGCCCGTCGCCCTCTCGCGCCTATTCGGCCCCTCCTCTCGCGCCTAGCCGGCCCCTCGCGCCCAGGTGGCCCCATGCGCCTAGTCGGCCCCTTGCGCCCTGCCGGCCCCTCGCGCCTAGTCGGCTCCTCCCCTCGCGCCTAGTTGGTCCCTCGAGCCCAGGTGGCCCCTCGCGCCTAGTCGGCCCCTTAAAGCCCATGTCCCAAGTTACAAGGCGCCAGTTTTTTTTCTTGTTAACAATTCTGGAACGCGTTTGGATGGTTACCCTATGCACTTTGTGAATAGTGAGCAATGTTGAGGTGAATGGGAAATGGTGGCTTGTGATTGGGGGATGTGACAAAACATGTTTCGTGTACCAGCGCAAACTCCATAGGAACAATGGCTAAGGGAAAATGTTGACAACAGAGGGCTTGTAAATTGGGAACACCATTTTGTTTACAACGCCATAGCTACCGTAGACATCGTTCCCTAGCAGTCCATATCTCAAGCATATGCGGCTTATTCCGTCACAAGCCTCCATACTCATGCCCCGCTGTAGCCCTCCCCTCTTTCCACGTCACCCCTCCCGCTTCAAGCTAGCCGCAGCTACCCGCTTCTGGCTGCTTCCCGCACGTGCTGCCTAGGCTAAAAAAACACCGCTACCAAGAACGCGACCCCAAGCCCGAGCTTCGCGACGCACCAAGCGGCTGCCCGCTCTCCGCTCCCTCTCCCCGATTACCTCTGCTTCCCGCTGAACACTGCTTCCCGCTTCGAGCTCGCCTGTTTCCCGCTCGTCGGTCTAGACTTCTAGCTCCGGGGGCCCAGCTTCCCGCCGTCCCATCCATCTCGCTTCTCGCAGCACCCCGCTCCCCATTGCCCGCCGCTACCCTAGATCGCCATTGCACCCACTCGCCAGTGCCGCTTCCTGCGCCCGCTGCTCAAAGCTTCCTGCCGCTGCCCGCTTCCCGTTTTCCGCCCCCCGCGACGCTGTGTGACGCTAAAGCAGCGGGACCCGTTTCCCGCTGCTCCCCGCTTCGCGCAGCCCGCGCGAACCGCCGAGCGCGAACGTGGGCAGCGCGCATCGCCCACCTTCCCTCGGTAACGCCGTCTCACGCTCTTTCCCGCAGCTATTCGCTCCCCACGTGTCCGCCGTGAGACCCTTCCCCGCCTCCCGCTGCCCTCTCTTGTCCCGGTTCTCGCGAGCTTCGCGCGCGCGGAATGTTCGGCGCCTTTCGAAAGGCGCGGGGACAGGGAGGGAGAGAGGCGCGACGGGTGGAGCGAGTGAGGCAGGACAGCTGGGAGGGAGGTAGTGGAGACAGGGGTGAGGAAGAGAGGCGAGAGAGCAGGGAGGAAGAGAGGCGAGAGAGCAGGGAGGAAGAGAGTCGAGAGAGCAGGGAGGAAGAGAGGCAAGACAGCAGGGAGGAAGAGAAACGATAGGGTAGGGAAGAAGAGAGGCGACAGGGCAGGGAGGAAGAGAGGCGATAGAGCAGGGAGGAAGAGAGGCATGAGAGCAGGGAGGGAGTGAGGCATGAGAGCACGGGAGGGAGTGAGGCATGGGAGCACGGGAGGGAGTGAGGCATGAGAGCACGGGAGGGAGTGAGGCATGGGAGCACGGGAGGGAGTGAGGCATGAGAGCACGGGAGGGAGTGAGGCATGGGAGCACGGGAGGGAGTGAGGCATGAGAGCACGGGAGGGAATGAGGCATGGGAGCACGGGAGGGAGTGAGGCATGAGAGCACGGGAGGGAGTGAGGCATGAGAGCACGGGAGGGAGTGAGGCATGGGACCCTAAAGCAAAAAAACGTAACAGTCGTTTTTTTTTTTTACTGTATAAAATACTAAATCGTATAATACGAAAACTGTATTTTTCCACCTTCAGTGTAGCACGCGTGGGGGGGGAAGGCATCGCAAAAAGTGCAACGTTCACAGATCGTTTTCACCATTCGAGCTCGGGCATAAAGTCGGAAATCGTCCGCCAAGTGTTCGCCAAATGTTTTTTTCTCGTTTCTTTGCACGTAAATGATTCGCGAGTCTTCTGCGGATGGGATGTTATGCGAATGAGTTGTTTTGTGAATGTTACACCTGAATAATAAACATGTTCCCGTGGCTTATATTTGCATAAATGAATGGTTTTTGTACACTTAAACTTCTACAAAGTTTTAAAATTGTGCATAAGTAACTGAAATATAATAATATATAAAATATGTGCAATTTGCCAAAAAAACTAACTGAATCCAACCCCAACCAACTCAACCCATATCTCACACGCTATTCGAGGTTCGGCGAGACCTGTAACCAGGCTGGGTTACGCAGCTCCAATGGGTTGCGAAACCCAGATACCACGTCCTAACCCTATGCACCGTGAGGAAATTGAACAACCCCCTCGGGCATCAAAAGAGGCCATGCGATTGGTCGAAGCCAAACAACAACAATCGCAAACCCAACCCACAGCCTGCTCCCTCGACAGCAAAAACGACTAAGGGAAAGATGGTAGCAGATCTCGAATTCGGGATCTGTAATTTTCTCGACTTGCCCTCGTTTCCTCCTAGATCCATGCTCATGCGTAGCCATGCTAGAGAGTTGGTAGCGACTTATAAAATGGGATCGAGGCGACACCGACGTCAGGCTAGTGAACGCGGATATCAATTGAGGTTCTTGGCGCGCGTAGCCTAGCCTGGACGAAATCACCAGCGCCTGAAAACAAGGGCAGGAAACAAATGACGAATCCCCCGCTGCTAACGGCCCACCGTTGCTGGCCGCTATAGCTTCCCGCCGCCTTCGATCTCCTCGTACGAAAATGCCACCCGCGGCTTCCCACATCGTGCTATCCCTGTCCTCGCGCTTCCTTGCTTCCCAAATCCCCGCTTCCCGCTTTCGAAAGCACGTCCGCATCTCACCTTCACGTGCTGCAGCATCTCGCTGTCCCTCGCTTCCTTCCACCCGCTTTCACCCGCGTCCCGCTATCGCTTGCTCCCCGAATCCCGCTTTCCCATGCTCCTCGCATTACCTTGCTCCCCGCATTCCAATGCTCCTCGCATTCCCATGCTTCCCTCATTCCCATTTTCCCGGCATTCCCATGTTCCCCGCATTCCCATGTTCCCCGCATTCCCTTGCTCCCCGCATCTCGCTTTCCCATGCTCCCCGCATTCCCTTGCTCCCCGCATCCCGCTTTCCCATGCTCCCTGCATTCCCATGTTCCCTGCATTCCCTTGCTCCCCGCATCCTGCTTTCCCATCCTCCCCGCATTCCCATGTTCCCCGCATTCCCTTGCTTGCTCCCCGCATCCCGCTTTCCCATGCTCGCTGCATTCCCTTGCTCCCCGCATTTCCTTGCTCCCCACATCCCGCATTCCCATGCTCCCCGCATTTCCTTGCTCCTCGCATCCCGCATTCCCATGTTCCCCGCATTCCCTTGCTCCCCGCACCCCGCTTTCCCATGCTCCCCGCATTCCCATGTTCCCCGCATTCCTTGCTCCCCGCACCCCGCTTTCCCATCCTCCCCGCATTCCCATGTTCCCCGCATTCCCTTGCTCCCCGCATCCCGCTTTCCCATGCTCTTTGCATTCCCTTGCTCCCTGCATTTCCTTGCTCCCCACATCCCGCATTCCCATGCTTCCCTCATTTCCTTGCTCCCCGCATCCCGCATTCCCATGCTCCCCGCATTCCCGTGTTCCCCGCATTCCCTTGCTCCCCGCACCCCGCTTTCCCATCCTCCCCGAATTCCCATGTTCCCCGCATTCCCTTGCTCCCCGCATCCCGCTTTCCCATGCTCTCCGCATTCCCATGCTCCCCGCATTCCCGTGTTCCCCGCATTCCCTTGCTCCCCGCACCCCGCTTTCCCATCCTCCCCGCATTCCCGTGTTCCCCGCATTCCCTTGCTTGCTCCCCGCATCCCGCTTTCCCATGCTCTCTGCATTCCCTTGCTCCCCGCATTTCCTTGCTCCCCACATCCCGCATTCCCATGCTCCCCGCATTTCCTTGCTCCTCGCATCCCGCATTCCCATGCTCCCCGCATTCCCGTGTTCCCCGCATTCCCTTGCTCCCCGCATCCCGCTTTCCCATGCTCTCCGCATTCCCTTGCTCCCCGCTTTCCCATGCTCTCCGCATCCCCTTGCTCTCCGCATCCCCTTGCTCCCCGCATTTCTTTGCTCCCCACATCCCCCATTCCCATGTTCCTCGCATTCCCTTGCTCCCCGCACCACGCTTTCCCATCCTCCCCGCATTCCCTTGCTCCCTGCACCCCGCTTGCCCATGCTCCCCGCATTCCCATGCTCCCCGCATTCTCATGCTCCCCGCATTCCTTGCTCCCCGCATCCCGCTTTCCCTTGTTCCCCGCATTCCCATGCTCACCGCTGTCCCATGCCCCCGCTTTCCCATGCTCCCCTCATTCCATGCTCCCCGCATTCCCATGCTCCCCGTGCTCCCCGCATTCACATGCTTCGCGCATTCCCATGCTTCCCACATTCCCTTGCGACCCGCACCCCGCTTGCCCTCGCTAATCCGCTGCTGCCTCTCTCCCCTGTTTCCCGCCACCCGCTTCCCCTAGCTTCCGGCATGCCGCTTTCCCCCGCTTCCTGTTTCTGCCATTCCCCCCTTTTCACATCCCGCTTTCCCCCGGTAGCGACTAGCGCTTCCCGCTTCACCTCGCGGACCGCTTCCCGCTTTCCCTTGCGGGTCGCTTCCCACTTTCCCACGTTGTAACGTGTTACCCGCTTTTTCGCGCGCCGCAATCCCCTGCCTTCTCATTGAATGAAAACAGATAAAGGTTCAAGGCGCAGCAGCAGGGAAGAAAGCGAGGCCGCAGGGATGGGGAAGACAACAGATAGTAGCGAGCGGGAGAGGCGAGAGGGGAGGGAGAGGGGCACGAGAGCAGTGGAGGGGGGAAGGCGTGAGAGCAGGGAGGGAGTGAGGCATGAGAGCAAGGAGGGAGTGAGGCACGAGAGCAGGGAGGGAGTGAGGCATGAGAGCAGGGAGAGAGTGAGGCATGAGAGCAGGCGTGAGTGCAGGGGAGGGAGAGAGGCGTAAGAGTAGGGGAGGGGGAGAGATGGGAGAGCATGGAGGTATGAGGTGCGTGATAGGGGGGGATGTGGGAAGGCGCAAGAGCCATGGAGGGAGCGAGAGGTGAGAGAAGGGAAGGGAAAGAGGGGTACGAGTAGGGGAGTGGGGAAAGGGAGAGTGCAGCCCGGAGGAGATGGGGAGGGGAAGAGGCGTGAGGGCGGGGGAGGAAGAGGCGTGAGGGGCATGGGAGGGGGAGAGGGTGTTAGGGTAGGGGAGGGGGAGTGGCGTGAGTGCAGGAGAGTGGGGAAAGATGGATTGCAGTGAGGGTAGGGGGGTAGGAGTGAGAGCAGAGGAGTGGGAGAGGCGTGAGGGCGTGAGAGGCAGGGACAGCTGGAGGAGATGGGGAGGGAAAGAGGCATGAGGAGAGGGGAGGCAGATACGCATGAGGGCAGGGGAGAGGGAGATGCATGAGGGCAGGGGAAGGGGAGAGGCATGAGGACAGAGGAGGGGGAGTGGCATGAAGCAGGGGAGGGGGAGAGGGCAGTAAGTGTGAGCGGGATCCCGGCAGGACAGGCAGTAAACACTCTATAACTAACCCCTCTCAACCCCCCGCCCCCCCACTAACGTATGCCCCCATCTCTTTCTTCCCCCCCCCCCCCCCCCCCTCCCCCCCTCCCCTCCTCCCCGCTCTCTCGCAGCCTACCGGGTGGCACATGATTGCCAGTCAAGCTCACCTTGGACAACCTCTCCATTAAAAGCCAGACTTCACCCCAAACCTATCCACTCACTCCCCTGTGCATCTCTCAACAAACCACATTCTATGGGTGATCTCCGTGCGGCCACGCATTCAGACATTCAGCCGTTATTGGCAAATGCTAACCATGTCTCTTCTCTAGCATCATCTACGGCGGCTGCAGAAAATGGAAATTATGTAACCCTACATATGTGAACGACACCTTGTAACTGAGTTGGTCCAGGGTTGTAAAGCCAACTTGAATTTTGAGGTCGCAATTTCTCTCCCTCAAGTTTGTTACATTCTTCCTGCCACATATATATGTGACCTTTTCAGGTTATGAATGGCTTGTCGGTCGTTCTGTAAGAGTACATGAACTTGGCACCAATTTTGGCAACAAGAGTAGCTTTTTATCTTTAGCATAAAGTCATATTAGTCTAGATACATTCAGAAAGTCAAGTTCCCATGGAAAGCGATTTAATCTACTAAACAAATCCAAGACACACACTGAGATATATCGAAAACGTCTTAGCATATATAGTAACAAGTGTTGGCTACAACACCTCCATCCAACCACCAAGAAGGGCGTAGTCCAACGGAATCGGTGCAAAACACGGCTTTATGAAATTTGTGAATACCAAACTGAACCGAATTGAATCGCAAATTACAGCGTGCTATAGAGCGCGCGGATTCTGGGATCCAAAATTTCAGGTCCTATTTGCTTGATATTCGGGTCTGTAGAAACACGCCCCTATTCACAAAATGACGTGCTGACCAATCACACACCCTTTGCCCCTACCCTTCACCTGCAACCGAACCCAACAAAATTTATTCATCCAACTCAGCCCCTGCATCTCGTCCAACCAATCAAAATCTGCCAAGTGGTTCCAGAGCGGCTAATCCAGCTCAACCACCTGCTCGCCCCAACCACCCAGCCCACCACGCTGCAC